ATGGAGTTTTTAAAGCAAGGATATTCAAATAAAATGAGGCCAGTGGGGCTGATAGCAAACTGAATTCTTACCACAAGTTGAAAGAACCATCACATAGAATTAAAAATATTGTATGTCTTTGCAAAAATAAGACAGAATTTAAAAAATAAAGGAAAAGAAACCTAGCCAACTATAACCAAAATACATTAAATGTGGACATTTTCTTTACCTAAAGTAATTCCCATCCTGCATACTTTGTTCCCAACCTGCCTTTCCAGCTTGACTTCTAAATGCCTTCACATTGTCTTCTGAGTTGCCCTGAACTATTTCATTCCCAAATAAGAGATGCATTTCTTCCTAGCAAGGAGCAATGATTAAGTCTTCCCCAATATCTCCTGACAGGATTGGTAACTTTCTCTGCTCTCACGGAATTCTATTTGGTAATTATTTTCTCTTCCTTCTCTCAAACTTTACTGTATTACTTTTAAAATAAGAAACTCCTCTTTCTAACCCTGGATTCGACGATATAAAATGTCAAACACATGATCTTTAGAATGAAGAGAAATCATTGTTAACACTGTTATTAGAAAGAATTCAAGTAGCTAATAGGAGGAGTATACCCTGTGTGTGTCCATGATGCATAATGTTCCTTCATAAAAAGCAAGAAACTGGAATTCATTGGGATCAGCTGCTATTGTTTGTTAATTGCTTGGTTGGTTGGCTTGGTTTATAAATAAGGATGCAGTGATAAAAAGTGATGAAATGACCTCTTTATTGTCATCAAACAAGTCACAGAGTAAAACAGAACTTAAATCTTAAATCTCTCAATTAGTCCTTTGTACTATTTATGTATTTTGCATTGTGTAATTCACTCCCAATAATTGGATAGGTGATTTCCATTCTCTACAAATTTTGTAAAAATATAATGGAAAAGGAATCAGAGGACCTTACTTCTAGTAGCAGAGCACAGTCCTAAAGAAAGGCAATGTAGTATGGGGGGGGAAAAAAAAAAAAAGCACTGTGTCTGGAGTGAAGGCAGCCTAGCTCTACCAGGCATGCCATCATGAACACTTGAGCTACCTCTCTGGATCTTCATTTCTCAAACCATCAAACATGTAGAAGAGTCTCTAGCTCCTACCCCTACACCACGTTTCCTGTGAAGTTAATGATAACATATGTGAAATCTAGCCCTGCACCTGGCACACAGTCAACTGTTGACTTTGAAATAAAATCTTTTTCAAAGATCTGTGTGTGTGCCTACATTTTGGGGTGGCAGTGCACTCTCTTTTTCATGTGATTTGTGCAGCAAATAATTTTGATATGGTAATATTTTTAAAATTCACTATATTCTATACGGTGCTATTTTTATTATCTCCTCAACTTGGGATCACAGGTTCCAAAATTTATTTCTACTCCAAAGGCAGCTTTTAACAATTCTGCTTCCTGACACACTGCCTGTGAGGCACAGCAAGAGACATGTATTGAGCTGAAGTTTCCATTTCGAAGTCTTACAAACAGAACTTCTTCGAGTTTATTAGTGAAAATATTTAATACTATAATAAGCAAAAAAAGGAATATTGAGTTTGAATTTTCGATTACAATCATTTTCCTCCTGAAGAAAATGTTTCGGTGGTGTGAGGGGCAGGGTAAGTGTGTAAGGATATGCCTGACCTGCAAAGCGTGGAAACCTACCACAGAGTAGTTCTTCAACAGTTTGCAAAACGATTACCTGTGATCCCTTAGATCTTAATCTTTTTTCTAAGTCATTTATATTCCAACAGACCCCAACTGGAGCATATTTAGTAAAAATAATATGGATGTCAGGAATCCAGAAACTCACTGAAGTCACAAGCATGCTAAGTATAGCTGTGTGACTTCCAAGTAATTTGATCCTAACTTGTCTTATCCAACAAAGGTAGTTACAACAGCTCTGACGACCCCACGGTTTGGGTGTGAGAATGACATTGAATATGTACAATGCAAACTGCTTTTTTAAGCAAAGGGAGCTTTATTATTATTAATATAACTAGCACATTATAATTATAGAATCGTTATTATAATTATCTAAGCTTTAATTCTTTAAAGGGAAATAAAGCTTTCTTGAATCATTTGCTTTTATCATCACCTAAGATGAAAATGTTGCTTCCCCATTCCTGAGGGGAGAAGGAGATCACAGTACTGCTACCAGAAAAATCATGATTGGAAGTCAGAATCATCTGACTGTAAGGTCAGTTCACTGCACGTGAAAACACATTGCATGATGCTAAGTTCTTATGCTGTTAAGGTTTCTTTTTGATATTTGAGGATTCTCTTAAAAGGCCCACATGGAAGGACTTAGAACCAAATAAATGTCTTACTAATACGATATGCACGTAGATTGCTTTAGGGTTTTCAGAACATTTCTGCTTTGTTCCTCACATCAACCTGTGTTTCCATTGAGATGGGAACCTGAGCACAGGGAGAGCCTCATGAAAGACCAACGGATCTGTCAGCATCCACAGATGCCTTGTAAAAGGCAATACTTTCATGTGCAGAGAGGTTGGTTGATCCCTCAAGATGCGTAATGATTTCTTTCTTCCCCCACTAGCCCAGAGCCAGTTGCTCTTTTCGTTTTTGTCAACAACATGTCCTTTTTGTTCCTCTCCCTCCAACTAGGAAGTGGCATCACTGTCAGACACAATACACCTCTTCATAAGGAAGGCAAATGAGTATGTGCCAGATGGGCTGAGGGGATTACAACATGTTTCCTGCTCCCATGGTGACGTAATGTGGCTGGTATGAGAACTTATCTTATTCAAGAAGTTAGCTTCCCCTAGCAGAATTATGAGTCACAGTTCCTGGGTAGAAAGCTCTCTTACCAACAGCACTGGAGGTGGGGGCTGGGGACTCCTTGGATGGATTACAGTAAAGGTCGTTCAGAAAAGTAACATGGCCAGGACTGCTGGGAAGGCACCAGCACTCACTAGCTTCCGGAACCTCCTTCAGCAATGGTAACAAAGCCACCTCTCCCTCTTCCTTCAAGGTGAGGGAGGACATAAAACTACATGGTGAATTACTGGCATGAACCCAAACAGGCTCCATTATAAAACTGGATAGTTTGGGGGCAGGGGAAGTGATGTATAGGGACATGTATTCAACCATTTGACACCTATGTATTGAGCATCTGCTATGTGTCTATGTGTCAATGATTATTCTGAGTGTTTGGATAACAAACAAAAGTTCCTGAACAAGTTCCTGCCCTCAGGCAGCTTAAAATCCAAGACAGAGGGAGGGAAGGGGGAAGGAAAAGAGATGAGGAGAAAGGAAAGAAGGGAGGTAGAAAAGGAGGAAGGACAGGGAGTTGAGGGAGAAAAAGAAGAAGGAAAAGGAGGAGGAAATGAGAGGAAGAGGAAGAGGGAGGAGGAGGAGAGAAAAGAAAGAAGGTTAATATAATATCAGGGAATGTGAGTGTTATGAAGAAAACTAAAACAGGATAGAGGGAGAGAGAGTGACTGGTGGGGATTTTTAGTTAAGATAGGCAAAGAAGCTTCTGTGAGCAGACAGCATTCAAACATAGACTAAATCAAATAAGAACAAACTAAAATCAAGAATTATATTTAACATATTTGAAAATCAGGACATCAAGAAACTCACCTATCAAATGGGACACCTAACCAAGAAGGACGGATGCGGAACTAAACAGCCAGGGAGCTGTCTCCTAGTATATCCCTGCTGAATAACAGCCCCGGTTATCTACAGCCATTCTTCTGTGAAGCCCCAAAGGGCCAACAAGGTTAGAAGTTACCTCTAGTTTCAGCACTGAGCTGTACTCTGTCCTACTTATACCACTCCTTTAGTGCTATTTTTGGTTTCTAATACAATGTTTTATGTGGCATGGAAAAGCTGAAACGCACCCAGAAAAGATGATCAGGATGGTAGGAGGGCTTAAATCCATGTCATATGAAAAACAGTTGAAGGCATATATTGCAGAACACTGAGGTCTGGTTATGTGGTAGCTAACTTAACATTTCGGAAGCCCTCTCACAAAGAAAAGGAATTAAAGCAATGATATGGAAAGTATGGTTTATGGTGTTCAGGGGAATTTTACATCAAAAGCTTTATAAAATGAGGACCTCTAGGTTCCCTTCATTGCAATTAGAGAACCATTGCAGTAGGTTTTGGATTGTTTTGTTTCTTTCTTTCTTTCTTTCATTTTTTTGTTTCAGTCCTGCAGTTGAACCAAGTAAATATTTGGAAAGAGACAAATTTCAGTTTTAGATACTAAAATCAAAGAGACAAATTTCAGTTTTATGTACTAAAAACTTTCTAAGAATTTGATTAGTCCCAAAACATAGGCTGAAATTTAATGATTAATAATCAGAGGTAGAGAGTGATTTGGGCATAATTTTGGGAAAAAGAGGTGATCTGAAAAGATGGATTTCAAATAGCAAGTCTCTTCCATCTCTAATTTCATGTGATCCAGGCCCATGATGACTGAGTTTGGTTTTCAAACTCTACAAAGGTCTTAGCTGGTTCCTCTTATGAAGCAACATTCTGGGAAAGAATGAGTCTAAAGACAGATCCTTTTTTTTTTTTTCCTATATAGAAACAATATGACTAAAACTCATTATTTTATTTAACATCTCAATGGATTATTACCACTGATACCTTCTCCACCTCTGGCTCAAATTTGAAAAACAGATTGTGCTATTATCACTTCCATTTTTCCCCAATAGGACCTGAGGAAAGGGAAAAAAAACAGTATTCTAGTTGGCTGAGTGTGAAGGTAATGAAAAATTCCTGTGTTTAAACACAGCGGCCCACTGCCTCCTATGTACTCTATCCCATGAAGACTAGAGACAGCAACGGTTCTTTCCATCACTGAAATTCTATTATTCTTCTGCTTTATGATTATTTGCTACTGTAGAAGACAATGGACATGAATACCGTTATGTTTATTTAAATTCATTCTCAGGAAGAGTGGACTCATTACCCTACACATGACTTGCATTTTAATACATTGTCAAAAGCCATTCACTTACCTGAGGCATCACTTTGCAGGATTCCGTAAAAGTAGAGACTCACTACACACCACAGAAGTGTCATCCTGTAAAGAGAAATACAAAGATAAGGGAAATCACTTATTACTTTCAAGTGCTTAAATAATAATAACTAGCACGCATGCATGCTGATTATAGACTAGAGACTATTCTAATAATTTATAATATTAACAAATTTCATTTTCAGAACCAACCAATAAGACAGGTTTTATTTTGTTTTTGTTTTTTTGTTGTTTGTTTTTCAATTCCCATATTGTATGCAGATAAAGAAATTTAATAGACAAGTTTAAATAACATAACCAAGATCCTTTGGCTAGAGACAAGTTTAAATAACATAAACATGATCCTTTTGCTGGAAAGTGGTAGAGCTATGATCAAACTCCAGCTGTCTGGTTCCACAACTCTCTCTTTTTCACTGAACTATAACTGCCTACTTAAAAAATATTCATCTGGATTTTTTGACCAGGACTCACATTTCTAGCAGATAAATTCAACTGTCTTACCCCTCTTTGCATTCCTTTTCTAGTTGGAATACTTTACAATCCAGGCACTTTTCCCTTTTAGTGACACGTAGACACATAGAAAGTCTAGAAATCCTGGATTCAGACTTTGTCTGCAATCTACCACACTCTGAATTTATATTAAGGAAAATATATAAATCTAATTCCCTGCTGTTCATGCTCCCCTCTTCTCACTGGAAGACAGAAATGATGGGGAAGGAGTCTACTTTCTATGATCTTTGGCCTTCCCATTGATAAGCAGCTGAAACAGCCAACTAGCATGAACCACACTCTTACATTTGGTTGTGTGATATTTAATGCCAAAGACCTGAAGATTTGACAGCTCTGTGAAGTCTTTCTTTTCCTACTACCCAAGACATATATGGTCACTGGTAAAACCTCTGTAAGTTACAAATACTGAAACCTGAAGACGATGCAGAAATTCCATGCTCAAGAACTCTGCTTTCTGTGTCGAAGGTAACAGCCATTATAAGAATGCTTGCAGAGGTCTTGGTAACTTGTCCAGATCATACTTCTAGTAAGTGACAAAGACGGGATTTATATCCACATCAGACTAACTACAAAGATTATTATCTCGAAGAGCCTATACCACAAGTTTCACAACCACAAGTATGCAGCAGCTTGAACAGATCCAAGAGGTATCTGATAAATAAGATGGCCACACAACGTCATTTAAAAAGGGCCAATTGTAAGAGCATTAAACTATAGCAAAAGGTATAGACTACACAAGGAATCCAAGAGGTGTGGCCACCCTAAAGGACGATGCAAGCTTCCAACTCCCATCACCTCTATTGACCACACCTCTCCAAAAATCTCTGGTTCGTGCTTCCTTTTTTAGCCTGGTTGTACACAAATCACAGTAGAGCGCATCATATCACAAGCTATTGTTTCATCTGATAAATTAAATGATGTTTTCTTCCCAGTATCTCCTTCTTCCAACTCTTATGTTATGACCTTGGGGAAATCTTTTTCTCTCCATCAGTCTTTCATTTATTCAATAAAACATGTATTGAGCATTTTCTCCTTCTTTTCCGAATTTTTTAGTTTTTTGTGTGTGTGGTTACATAGTAGGTATATATGTGTGTGTGTGTGTATGTGTATGTGTATGTATATATATACGTATATACATATATATACATACACATACACACACACACACACACACACACACACACACACACACATACACATACATATATGTGGACCAGATATGTTTTGATACAGGTAAGCAAGGTGAAATAAGCACATCATGGAAAATGGAATATTCATCCCCTCAAGGATTTATCCTTTGAGTTTCCAAGTTGCTATGATATAGCTACGAAGCCTCTGGTGAGAAAAATGTAGGATCTTCTCTAAAGGCACTTTTCCAAAATAAAGATGAACCCCAAGCAAGCCACTTTAGTATCATCAACTATGTATAGAACACACATCCCGAGACCCTCACGAGATAAAAAGACTTGCCAGACAGAAATTCTCTCATAGGCAGGGTCTAACAGAAACTTAAAATGTGCAAAAAAAAACCTCTGCAATACGAAGTAAAAAGTGATAAAAATAGAGAGGAACAGATAAGTGTTATTGAAGATTAGCAAAGGAAAGAGGTCACTCCAGCCAAGACAAGAAAAGAAGACGAAACACAAGAGGTGACATTTGAACTGGTTTGGATACTTAGACTTGAGGCAGAAGGAACATGTGAGAAAAAGAAACTTTTAGTGGAGAATAATGCTCAAAGGTAGTGAAGGCATAGAACACACATAGAAAATAGTATAAAAAGAACCGAGTTTCGCTCAAGCACAAGGTATTAGAAAAAGAACTACAGAAGATTTTGTTGGAAAGCAGACAGTGGTAGGATCACAATATGGCAGAGCCTTAAATAACAGGCTAAGGGCTTGGGATTTAACTTAAACAGCACATAGGGAGTCACTGAAGTTTTCTGAGTAGAGGAGCAATATGACCATCAAATTGTACTTTACAGAACACTGCCAGGCACGTACTGGATAGATTGCTGCTCAATTCTGTCTTGAAATCATTTTGGCTCCCGAATCTGTTATCACAATAATTGCTATCTTCCTAGCTTTGTGACATCTACAAACCTGATCAGCATGCAACCTACATCCTCATCCAAGTCATTAATAAATGTAATTAATAATTCTGCATTAAACTTGCCAGCAAAGAGCAACGAGAGATTTCATTGCATTCAGGGAACCGTAATTTCAGGCCCACTTCTCAGCCATGCTAAAGCAATACGCCCTCCCAAATTGCTGTTGGCTATTTAAAAACCCCCACGTACCTCTACATTTTCCCAGTTTGCCTGTTTATAAGCTGCTGGATTCCTAAGGCAACATTTAGAAGACATTCTAATTAGTGTGATTGAGGGCCTTAATTGATATTCCCAAGAGTAACTGGATTATGCTGAAGGCAGCAAAGAGTCAGGTCACCAAGGCGAAGCTAATCTACAGATCACCTGTCTGCAAACACACATCCAGGGCCAGTCCTGCCCTGTGATGAATTAGAATAAGGCAGACTGAAAAGGAGATGTGATTGAGAAGGCTGGTTTTGACAGATTGAAGGTATCAATGTTATCGGGAGGCGCTTGGCTGATCTGAAACCTCTCAGAGAATGCTGGGCCATTTAGCACTGTCTAGTATTCAGCCTTAGAATTGTATTGTAAAGAGTAATGCACTTTTGGTTCTTGCGTCTTAGAGTGAGAGGGTGCTGGGTCAGAGATGGAGAAACTGTCAGAAAGCAAAGGGACATGGGTAATAAACATAGTTTCTCGGAGTCTAAATTAGAGCTTAGCTTTAGATTATTGCAATGGGGCCTAACAGACCCTGCTGTTGCTTCAGATGATTCTAACCCACAATGGAAATGCCTTTCCTGCATTATCCATTTTATTTGCTGCATGATAATCTTCATACTCTCTCCCTATGTGTTGTTACATCTCTCATATTTAATCCCATTTTTCCCAGTATATCAACTTTAATGCCTATATCATTTAGCAAGAAGATTTAAAATGTACTTAGTTCTCTGTAATCGACGACAATGTTAAAGATGTGTCTTAACATGTACTCAGCACCTTAACATCTATTTCTGCATATGAAACTTTGTATTGTCTGCATTCTCTAGACTTGGTCATCATTAGCATCTCCTTATCGCCCCAATCTGACCACTAGATTCTCTCATCTAGCCAGCAAGTGACAGGCTGAAACCAGGTTTGCTGCCCCAAGGGTGGGATTTGCCCTGAATCACCATTTGTTCTGCCTGCCTTCTGCACAGCAGCATTTCACCAGGTCACAGGACTGGATTTGTCCCTCAGTTTCCTGATCCCATATCTAGCTCTATACTCAGAAAACACCCACTCAGGCCTTCAACCTGGTGCTCGTCAGCACCTTCTTCCAGGAGCCTACCTTGCGTCCCTGTAAAGGCTTGCAGTCAGCTAGATAAACCTCCTATAACCATGAAACTCCTAAACCTGCTTCATTCCTGCCATGGTTGACTGACACCCTTTCCTATGACCTGCCCACTGGAAACTATGAACATTCACAGTTTTGAAAACGTGGACATTCACGCCAAGGAAAACACCCCAGAAGGCCATCCCCATGAAAGGTCAACCCTGTAGTCAAATCACTTCCTTGAGTCCCGATCCTGCCCTACTCCCATTCAAATCTTTCCTTCTATTTTCTCTAAGTTACTGCAAAAAGTCTGAGTAGGTCTTGCATTCTGTGCTTACCTAAGACATAACAAACAAGCCTTTGATGAAAACAGGAAAAGCTATTAATTATTCCATTCTACAGAAAACGGATAGCATTTAGTAAGACATAAGAGTTATTTTCATAATCTTTTGTAGAGTTTATTGGGTTTTTTTTTGAAAATAGGATCCTTGTGCAGATAATTCCAAATACAATATTTATCAGTAAGTGAAAGTTTTGGCAAAGTGACATGAAAGGCTCTGATTTGGGGTAAAATGAAGTAAATATTCTTCCTCCTATCTTTCCCAATGAATGCAGTTATAAAACATGAGCATATTACATGGAACAACTGTTTGAGGATTCTAAAAGTAAAAAATAATGCATTCTTTTCAATAGGACATTCACCAAGATACACCATATCATGTATCATAAATCAAATTTTAACAAATTTAAAAGAATTCAAAGTATGTTCTCTCCCCATAGAATTAAACTAGAAATCAATAACAGAAAGATAATAGGAAAATCTCCAAACATTTCACAATTAAAATATATGTGTTAAAATAAAGTATATATGGGTCAAAAAGAAAGTTGTAAGGGAAATTAGAAAATACTTCTAACTTGACAAAAATAAAAATGAAACATACTAAGTGTGTGGGATGCAGCTAATGTAGTGATTAGAGGGTAATTTGTAGCATTAAAGGCTTATCTTAGAAAAGAAGAAAGATGGTAAGCTCATAATCTAATCTTCCACTTTAAGAAACTAGAGAAAGAAGAATAAATGAAACAAGCATAATAAAGGCAATTTTATAGAGTAGAAATCAAATAATTTTAAAACAGGAA